CAGATCTCAGGCTCTGCCGGACATGAAGCCGAGGAGGAAGATCTTTCCCTTTCCARTGTTTTCTATGCTTTCAACACCACATTTTGCTCTGGCCTTGCAGCAGGTTGCACTTGGGCCTCATTATAACTGAGCATGGACTATTGATTCAGGCTAGGACAGTAATCAGTCCTTTTCTATCAATAGCTTTGTCATTGACATTTTAAAAATCACACAGTTCTTCCTACCATAAAACACTGTTAAGAGTATGTATGATTTGGAATTTAGGATTTTAAATACAAATACAAATACAGATTTCAAGCACAAGGAACTACTTCAGTTCTAAAGACAACAATGTTGATAAAACAGTCCTGGAAATCTTTCATTGCATGGTATTACCTTAGAATTTCTACAAGAAAATAAAAGGTATTGGAATAAGAACAAATAATATTAACTACATCCTAGTGGATGTAACTTATTTTAAAATGTGTTTTTCAAAGGCTTAAGGAAAAAAAAAAACAACAAAAAGTTTCATCAGGGCTAAAAACTATCAGTCTAAACTGGAATTTTTGTATAAACTAAAATGATTTAATATCTGGGCAGATTCCCAGCTGGTAAGTACTGTCATAACTGTAGAATACAACAAAGTACCTATAACAATTACATTAGCTGATTCTCTACTTGCCTCTACCAACCGATGCCTTTCAGACTCCAGCCTTTAAAGAGAGGTGAGTGGAATACAAATTCCTCAGTCAGTTCTGCATTTGTAATCCTTATTCCAGAATTAAGACTCAAAACCTGTGCATATGAATACATTAAACTTTTTCCTTGGCCCAGCAATTGTAATCAAGTCCAACGTTTTTTGTTCTGATTGCAAATGCTGTTAGAGTCTACTCTGAAGTTCTTAGTATGGTTTTTAATGCCCAGAAGAAAAAAAAARATCTAAATTCTTCAACACAATGATGTTGTTCTGTATCATATTGTTTCCTCYGTGTGTTAACAGCCAAAAGAGTGACATAAAAGAAGCACCTTAATTAGCAGAATCTGCTTCCTGTATGTTTTTGAGTCATATTCTCCAGCTCTAYTGGCAAAAACAAGTTTTTCTAACTGCTAGCGCTGCAGCCAGTACAGCTCAAAGCACAAACTGCAACCTATTCTGGTAACATGCAAACATTATCATCTAAGACCCCCTTATGAAATCACTGTCACTATCACTAGTGATAGCACAAGAACCAGAAAGCATGATAGGTTATCAGGCTGCTTTCTGAGTTTTTAGAACCTTTACATAGGAAAAAAAATCACCTTCTGATTTGTAAATATGGCTTAAGTAGTACCTGATAATAAACACAATGTTTATGAATAACAAAGAAATAGGAAACCAACGCAATCAGCTTTTTTCTATGGCCCAATTTCTTAGAAAAACATGAATACACTTTCAAATTAACTCATCTGTTTAAATGGGAGAAGCAGAATATAGCAACAATGAAATATAGAAGAAAGCACCTGCTATGCAATTTGTCATTCCCTGTGCAAGTTTTGCTACACAGTAAAACCAGCTCTAATCAATGTTGTCATTTAATGGCAATAAAATAGCAAAATCAGCTACTGTTATTTTGTGGTCTCAAGCACTTCTTCAAAAGTTCTTACTTCAAAATGACTTTACCAACCAAAAACATGACTGAAAGATACAGTCATTCCCCACAACTCCCCTGCTCCCTGTGCCCTTTCCTCAGCCCCTTTAAATTTGGACTGCAAGTATTAAATGTGGACTTTACCAAGAGCAATAGTGGAGCTCCTACTGTATCAAGAAACTTCACCTGACTATACACCATTGTACAGTTCAGATTTTATTGGAGTGACTATTGCTTCCATAGGGCAGAAATGCAAAACACAATGCTAAGTTTAATGCCTCTTCATGCCTGTGCATAGAACTTCCACAGATCAGGACAGGCACACTCCAAGGTGCAAACAGCATTACGTGTGCTGCTCACATGCTGCCAATCACTCCGACACGGRCAGCTCAACCTTCCCATGCTGGCTGCAGTGCCCACGAGTGCAGGGTGAAAGTGTTAGGCTGGGTAACAACCTAAGGAAACCTCTGCCCATTTTCCCCCCTTTTTTCTGACTCTGTCATAACTCAATTACAAATTTTTACAAACACATTTTAAAGAACATATTCTACTGGCAACCAAAATGAAAAAGATGAAACAGCAGCCCTGTGGCAAAAGCAGAGTCAGGAGATCTGGATACTTTTCCTGGCTTTGCTTTAGACTTCGTGACTGACCTTGACTAGTGAGAAGCAGACAAATCTCACTCCCTGCTCTGTGCAAAGGGTCTTGCCTGCTTCYCAAGGAGAGTGGCTCCACTATGGGTATGTATTGTCTGGGCAAACACACACATGCATGTGCATGTACACACAGAAACACACACATTTGCACAAGAGGTGAATACTAAAATCCAAACTTCTTGTCATTAACACAGAGTAAGACATCAGCTTAATGAGAGTTAGGAAGGAAAATCTGCAGGTCAGGTGTTGTGGAGCATTTGTGGAGTCCTGATGATGAAGTAACAGACATGAAACTGTATTGGGTGATGTTAAAAGGCTATCTTTCCTTGCTTATGCCTCCCTTAAGCAAGGGAAATATCACCAACATCATAGAATGTATTTCAGGGCTAAGCTGGCAAATATTTATGAGAGCCATAAAGTTTGTCAGAGAAACTACACTTTAGAAAGACAAAATGTTACTGCTAGGCTGCCAGATCTGCAGATATGCCAAATTTCTACAAATCCCACCAGATCCAGCATTTTTTTTT